ATTTCTCTCAGATGAGCAGAGCTCTGTATCAAGATCATACGTACTGAGTTACAGATGCATGTCATTTTTTTTTTCTGAGATGACTCGACGCATGATTTTGTTCAAACTCATGATTCTACACACTGGATTTTAGTTGCACATTACATTTTTTAGTGATTCAATCAAATATGCACAGCCAATTACAGTACATATTTGCCTGCAACGATTAACTGCATCTATTTAGCCGAGTGCCTGTCTTGCACTTCTGGTGATGGAATTTGGCATTAAACACAGAATGAGGACTTTTTGGAATGTGAAATCAAGGCAATTCATGTCATAGTTGCTCCTTTTTTGATACAATGTGATAGTACATGTAAGTAAACAAGTTTTTAAGGGATATAAAGTTGTGATTCAGTTAATTCACATACATATTGGTTTTTGACCTCACAAACTCTGAACAGCTCGATATGGTCAAATTTGAGGAAAGTCAGAAAATGTTGATTAAAACCAGTTGTAATTTATGTGTAAATAAAAAAAATGGATTTTTTTCTGTACCATTTTCGTGCGATACCAAACACTCTTCCAAGCAAGGTTTGGTTATTTATTGATTAGAAAGCCCAACAAAGAAATGTATTCAAATTAAAGCAACGCCTTATGAACAAGAAAATCCCTCTTATCAATGCTGTGTTCAACTGCCCTTTTTACCCTGCACCTTCCCAAGGAAGATTATTTTAACCCTTTATGATGCCCCAAATCCTCTCAAATAATGTGATTGTACTGCTTTTGTGATACCCCACACCTTCCCCAGCAATGTTAGGTTGCACTGTCTTTCATACTACCTAATACTTTAAGCAATGTTAGGGTGTACTGCCCTTCATACTATCCATGACAACCTAAGAATTAGGTTACACTGTCCTTTGTGAGATTTTTTTAGATTTTCCCACAACATTGAGACTATAACATTCTCCAATGACACCTATTTTTTTATTTCATTGGTATGGATCCATATTATGTGAAAGTAATTTTCAATTTGATTGGAACCATTTTAAAATACTACTTTAGGTGTGGAAATACACCCCTACCCCCTAAACTAGTCTTGGGCCTGCCTGCCTAATTTGCATAAAAATCAGTTGTTTCATTTCAAACAAATAGCGACCTCACTTGTACAAGTATGACAGTCATTTACTTTTTTACTCCGGTATATACGGTGAAGAATTTTGACTGCTTTGTGAAAACTGTATGGAATTTTGCCTATTTTGTAAGGCACCGAAAATAAAAAAAATAGGTAAGTTGTTGTTTTTTAGGTTTTCCATTATCATCATGTAGTTTATTTGATCGTAATTTATAATTTATGTGATCGAGCTGTTTCGGAAGTAGATATGATGGTAGTATCGGAAATATAACTAGCCGAACTTGATGTCGATTTAGGATTCTGCTTACAAATAATTTAGCCAATCATAGTACGTTAATTTTAGCCAATAAAACAACCTCATTAATAGTTATTTACCTATCAGCTC